GGGGCAGCGTTTATCATTCCTTCAAATAATATGTAAGGATGCCTAATGGGATCTGATACTTTAATAGCAATATGAAATTTAGGAGAGAAACACTTCATTAAGTGATGACAAAATCCACAGCGGCAAAGAGAAAACAACATGACTAGAGCATAGGAATGTCTGCCTGGAGAGTTTCCTTAGTTAAGACCTTACGTAGTACTTGCCAACAGAGATAGTTTAAAAAACTGCAGCCTAGGAAAAATATGGTTCTTCTTAGCTCACAGTTCAAGAATTATTAAAGAGACAGATTAAGTATTCTTTGGAGATGTTGCACTCTGCGATGAAGATTTTCCTGGAATTTAAGGTGTTACAATCATGCCTGTGAAAATAAGGATGATGAAATATGGTTTATTTCTAAGAGAGCCTTCTCATCCTGGGGAATCAAATCATTTCCCTGGAAAGGGCATAAATCCTTGGTTTAAAAATTTCAAATATCACACTAATCAAAACTGAAATTTTAACTTTTTCTTTTTTTTGGAGAGAGGAGGTATTTTAAACAGCATTAGTAAACTACATCATCATTAAATGATACAGCTGAACAAACATTATAATTAAGTCTGGATGGGCAAATCCGCTATCTTCCATAAAATTCTACAACTAATTTAAAATTTAAGTTTTAAAAGCAAAGCCTTTGGTAGTCAAAAGCATTTTTAAGCTCAGGGACAAATTTTTCTTTACTTTCAACCACACATAACACACTATCCGACAGATGAGATGCTCACCACATGCTTGAATAATTAAACAAACCACCTGTAAACAAGCTGTAAATTTGACAAGAATGTAATATAAATACTAAGAAAAGGCTAACAAAATGCTATACATAGTCTTCTCACTTTTAAAGACGGAATAAACACGCCCTTCAAAGAAACTAACTATAAATGTGCATATAACCCATTACTAAAATGCCGGGTTGACTCTCAATTATCTACTTTGCATCCTACCTCTTGAATTTTTAATGCATGCCACCCTACTGCATTTCTGGGCTGAACAGGTCCTTCACAATATTTGGTACTTCTCTGTGAATCTAAACTAAACTTTAAAATAAACTAAAGAACACTATAATGAAGTTAAATCTGGTGGGATGAACACAACCATCACCAACCACACTTATTTCACAGCCAGATCTGCACTACTTTTTAATTATACACAATTTGGGATGAGTTCTACAACTCCACTAAAATCAGTTAAGATCAACTGAATTTCTTCTCACATTTATCTACTTTTAAGTATTCTGATTTCTAAGTTTTAGTCACCTACTTCTACACGTGATTTTTTTGTTTTCTTGAAATTCTAAAGTCTTCTTAAAGTCACTGATGTGACTTATTCTAAAAAATTATTCTGATAAAGTAAAAACTCCTAATAAATTTATTAAAGATAAGGCCATTAATCATATGAGTGTCATACTATGACCAATATACTTGCTATCATGCATGAATCCGACACCTGGGAAGTTTATCAAAACAACCCTTTCCATTTGGTAATGTGAGGCAACTACCATTTATTCATAGGTTCCTTTGAACCATCTTCTCTCCATTAATCCCACATACTTTTCCAGCTTTACTTTTTCCTTCCTTTTGAAGAAGAAAAAGAAGCTTCTTTCTATATGTTTTCTATTTTTTCTTTTTAAAAAAATGCTTACTTATTTATTTTGAGAGAGAGAGAGAGAGAACGAGCTCCTGACCGGGGG